ATAATGAAAGCTTTACAAAGTCTTATCATCACATCAAGCTAATACAACCACACAAGAGTTAATCCTCCCTCTGCACGTAGAGATGAAGACAACCCTCGACTACAATACATGGAAAACATAAAAACCAAGAATAATACTACTCCCTCCGTCCCATAATATAAGAACGTTTGAACGTTTTTGACACTAGTGTCAAAACGTTCTTATATTATGGGACGGAGGGAGTATTGTACAATTTCATTTGAGAAAGGTCTTAGCTTAGTGCAAATTTTCCTTGTAAACCGAGTACAAGGTAGCCCCTAGCTAGAAGAGTCTTGAGTTTCCTTTTCGCGAAATAATGCTATTTTCATAATCTTACTCCACACATAATGTCCTGCATTGACCTTAATTATGAAAAAACAAATAACCGGCATATAGTAAAGATTTTAAAAGTTTTAAAATATTCACTCTTTGGATTGAAGGAATTTGGGAAGGTTCTAGTTCGTAGATCCCCCCATAATTTTTCGCGAGATAATGATATTTTCAGAATCTTACTCCACACATAATGTCATGCATTGACCTTAATTATGAAAATCAAATAGCCGGCATATAGTAAAGATTTTAAAAGTTTTAAAATATTCACTCTTTGGATTGAAGGAATTTGGGAAGGTTCTAGTTCGTAGATCCCCCCCCCCCCTCCCCCGCCCCCTATAGAGTTTGGACCATAGGATTGGAGTCGCCAAATTCTCCATTACATAGGAATATCAACGTTAGATCAAATCTTATTTTGCCTTTCCTTTGTTATGTCCAATACAACACATTCTATCTCTCTAACCTCTTTCATCGATCTTCCAAAATTTCTGCGTTTTTCCGTTTGCACCACCCCGGAACACCTCTTCAGGCTTTCGTTGGTTTACAGGAAATATGAAGAATCCCATAGGATAGGATTCTCGTAGAAAAAAAATATTTTAGAGCTTTTGGTTTGCAGGAATGAGTCCCTATTCCTACACAGGAATAATTCATATCCTTCGTATTTTAAAGAAGAAGAAAATTAGCTCAGAGGTAATGATCAAAATTGCATCCATTCGGCAGGAGTGGTAAGCTATAAAAAACAATGAACAATAGATATATACTAGGAGTATAATTTTTCTGTCCTATCTATTATGAAAAAAGGCTTTATAGCGACACATGAATTACTGCGTCTTTTCTATTCTTATATAATTTCAATTTCCTACGATAAAATGAGGGCCTAGCTAGGCTCCAGCTGCAGCTACGCAAACAAACAACCACCCCGGCAAACGGCGAAATTGACTGCCACAGCTGTACTACTAGGCGCTTCGTGTACCCACGCCGTAATTCTCACCTCGGAAACACGCTAGCAACGCCGTGAACCGTGAACCGGACCACCCACCGATCCGGGTGAGGTCGATGGGGATACGTAGCCAGCCGTAGGCGCTAGCATGAAGATGAAGGCCGCCGACCGACACGCGCACACGCCGCGGGATGCGAGCCGCGCGCGTAGGCAGGCCCACCAGTGGCGAGGAGACGAGAAGATGGCCGTCTTCCCCCACGCCATGTCTCCACACAGACTCCACCCCGACACGGTGGGCCTCCCCGCCCGCCCCACCACACCCCCGGCAACATGCGTCGCATGCAACCAACCCCACCACCACCACCGAGCCAGGCCAAGCCCCTGGCGATCAGAGGCAGCAGCACAGTAGCCTACCCACACCAAGCTCG